ATACTACTCATGAGCTGACTAAATCAGCCGGGCCCCATCCCCCGCCCACTAACCTCCGTCCACCCCCTCGCATAAGTATAAAAGACACCCACACACATATTCCCATCTCCGCCCACCTTGCCTTTCAACTGCTCCCACACTTTTCCTCTTCCCTCCCGGTGGATTTTCTCTCCCTGTCCCTCTGTCTTGCTCCTGTCTTCCCCCCCTCCTCCTCCTCCCATCTCCTCCTTTAGAGGACAAGAGGGAGGATGTGAGTGGCGTGTGTGTATGAGTGCGTTAGTCATGTTCAGGCTCATCCAGGGCAAACAGCAGCACAAGCAAGGGGGAAACCCAGGCACAGGCAGGAATAGGATGTTTTGTCCACATCTGTTAGTTGGTTTGGCTGCAGCAGCTTGTGGTTTACACAGCGCCTAAAAATGGATTGCTAGAATGAGCTACAGAGCATGCTGGAGGCGAAGACGGATGAGCATATAGTAGGAGGGGAAAAAAAGGACAGGATGACATAGGTGGGGGGAAGGGTGGGCATGCCAAAGTGGGCCAAGACCCCCCTAGTGGTTAATAGGATTCTGTCTGCCCTGAGCTGAGCTCGAGTTCACGAGCCAGGAGACGGCTCTGAAGAGGGCGTCTGATGTGGAAGTGTTTGTCTCTTGTAAGATTTGATTAGCATTTAAATTCAAACTGACTCACCCGTTTGTTCTGTGGTTTTTTCTGAGCCATAGGTCAAGATCTGGTCACTCCGGTACAGAAAACATTTATTCATTAGTCAGTGATAAGGGATGGTGTTCTTGATTTAGCATGACTTCAGTTCAAATGTACTAACTGATGTAAATGTTTTTTCATGATCCTGATATGAAAGATTTCAGAATAAATCTCATTCCTCAAAATCCTAAAGCCAAGAATAGTTGGAGTATTGACGGAGAATGGAATTTCATGAAAATGTTGACTTTATTTTAAATTTCTGATAAGACGACTAATCAAAATAAGTCCTTGAAAGCGACAGAACAAAAGTGGCTTGTATTGAAATTGCTGACATGACCTTTATCTGTGCAGTGAAGATAGACAGTTATTTGCTGGTTGGGGATCATCAACATTAAGCAAAAGAAACAAAACAAGCATAAAATGATAAACTGCTCTAGGAGAGCACTACATTACAACATTATGCTCTGAAATTATATTCTCTTGATATAAGACAGTGTTCTGCTCTGTTATCAGTTTCCAGTGTCTGCACTGATTTTGCAACATTTGTAACCAACTATTTTGCTTCATATCTAAATGGGAAACGCTAACATTTGTTTTTTATTATCTCCGATCAGTCACATTATCCAGTCCCCTCATCGGTCTCCAGGTGGTGCCAGTGGTTGAGAAGGACAACATTCCTCACACCAATACACACACACAGAGTGGACCTATTTCCCTGTCTCCATCCACATACTGAGGGGCTGGGTATATGGCAGAGATGTGTGAGGGTGTGGGGGATGGGGCTGAAGTAGTTGTGGAAGATAGAGAGGAAGGAAGTGAATAGAGTGAGAAATGGGGAGGGAAGGGGGTGGCATGCAAGGCAAGCACATGCTGAGCGAAACATTGGACTCATTGAGAAAAGCGCTCTCTCCATTCATGCCCTATCAAATCCCCTTTTCACCCAAACTCCCACTCTTCTCATCCTGTACGTACAGTGTATCGATATCTGTCCGCTATCTGCAGATGACAAAGGTTCTGGGGTGACTAAGTAATTTAATGTGTTTGTTTGTATCAAGTTATTTGAGGTAAATCCTGACAAAACAAATGGAGAGGCAAATGGCCAGTTTCAACCACTTTAAAGTTACTCTACAACCTCAGTATCTGTTTTCAATTGAAGACCCATCAACTCCAGATGGGCAGTTCATTTACATGAGAAACCACCGTATGAAAGTACTAGTAGGTGGTTTGATTGGAGCACAGTGTGGAGTGTCTCGATATTACATCGCCGTCTCCTCTGCATCCACCACACCCCTCAGATGTCATCAGATGTTTGTGTATTTCAAATTCAAAATGGTCAGATCATCACATGAAGGGTCCACCTATGTTTATATGAATGAAAAGTAGCTGTTTTTACTTATTAAATGACCCGGAGCCATAACTTGGAATACATTATGTCATATGATTTGGGGACACATAAATTTGCTTACTCAAGGGTAGAAATAAGTTTACACTTGCATATAATGTTACAGTGGGGTAATTGAGTGGCTTTTTCATACATTTTAATAACTTCTACTGAAATTATGTGACTACACGTTGGTATTGCCAGTTCCTCAGTGGCATCAGATATTAAACAACCTTTTTTTTTTTTTTACATTTTATTTCATGTAATTTGTCATTTAAGTTTTTTTAACTCTGTCCTCTCCTCTCAACTATTCAGAGTCATTCAAATTCCATTCAGAATGTTTTACTTTAACTATCACAGAGTACCTTTTAAAAGAGATTTTCTTTTATTTAACCTTTATTCAACTTGGAAAGCCTCACTGAAATAAAAAAAAATGTGTTTCAGAAGTGGTCTGGCCAAGATAAGGCTGGAATTTCCCTTGGGATATCTATGTATCTGAAGTAACGGTGAAATAACATGAGAAAACACAAAAACACAAAATGTGTGACAATTTACAATTAGACAGAGATATGATTATGATATAAAATAACACATTTTTGAAAAACTAATAAAATTTGGTAAAACATTTCATCCTAGAAGCAATCTACATAAAACAATCCAAGAACTGTATAAAACTATAGCAATAAATAAAACCAGTCTAAAACAATAATCACACTAACTGGTTCCCAACCCGGGGTTAAGATAAGTATAAGGGGTTGTGAGACAATTCATAAGACAGGAAGGCAAATAAAAACTAACCTTTGTGATGGAAAACTTTGATGAAGATGAACCACTCGTGCTCAAAGAAGAGACCTTGATGACTTTGGCCCGGCCAACGAGAATAAGATGAGCAATACAATAAGTGCAATTCCAACCCAATTCTGAAGGTTTTCTCCTGTCGAGGCGTATTTAACACAAACCTAGACCCGCGAGATCTACTATTGTCCCAAATATGGTCATAGCTCACGCAGCTACGTACATACGCCTGAAGATACAATTGGGTAGTGGTTCAAGAAAGAACTGTCTATTAGATTGTTTTTAACTTTCGTCTTTCATAACAAAGTGGAACTACAATACGTTGCTCAGTGTTCAACCTTATCGGCTGCTCTGCATAGTCTAGTCAGCCAAAACAATCAGAGAGGAGGCCAAATTAACAAAGTAGTTTTGTACACAGCTTCCCAGTAACAAGGGGGACCCCTGCAGTCTAATGTTTCCCTAATCTTTGCTTTTATACCCAACAATATTTACTCTTTAGGCTTCTAAAACTAACTGCAGAAAACTTCAGGCAGAGGGAGCAGCATAGATATATACATATATACAGTAAAAAAAAAAACTTTTACAGTAAACTTATGGGGAACTTATGACAGTATTTTTAAAACCCCGCCTTTAGATGTTTTAAGCACAGTTTTATTTGCACACTGATGTTTACCCACCTTTAGTAAATGTATTAGTTTAATACATTTGTCATATGTAGTAAATATAGAAATCCCAACAGAAGAGTAGTGAAATAATTAAAGCTTTGAGGTATTTTCATTTGATGCTATTTCTATTGCACTACATTTCAGATGGAAACGACATTTATTCGACAGCTATATTTGCTTACTTTTCAAATTAAGACTGTAGATACATATATACATAGTTTATAAAACATTATGCTTTATTATAGATTAAACTGGCAAACATATGAAGTAGATTTGAATTAGCTCAAACTAAAGACAAATACAACAGTAAATTCTAATAAATATAAGTATAATATAATAATATATGTAATAGTATTATAGAATAACACTTCCACGGGCCATTTTTCAGCATTAAATACACTAACTGTATAGTTAGTCAGTATATTTTTCTGACTTATATCATTTAACTTAACACTTTGAATGCAGGACTTTTTGCGACGGAGCAGTTTTACATTGTGGTCTTGCTCCTTTTACTCAAGTACACTTCTACCATCTCTATAGATGATAATGTTTTAGGAGGGAGATAACAAGAGATGCCATTCTGAGCTTGAAACCGGCTTGTGTTTACATTGGGGAGGTCATAGTTCACTCACCCTCACTGTGGGAGCCTGTGGTATGTCCTGTCCGAGCAGATGCATAAAACAACATCAGATACTATTTAGTTGAATAGCAACACTTTCTTCTGATGCTGAAAGTATATCCTGCAACTTTATAACACATGCTTTTTTGTTTTGTGATCAAACCTGGAGAATATGAGGAGGAGGTGAAGGTGGAGGAGGGGAGGAGGAGGAGGAGGAGGGGGTTGAGCTCTTCTACTGTTGGTGGCCCTCCCCCGTTTCAGCTCCCATGAGGGCGGCTCTTTAAATTGCCCCAAAACTGCTGCTGGCTGGCGCCTTTTTCCCCCTTTATCTGCAGGAGACAAGACACACGTGCTATTAATAGGACGTCGTAGGATCAAACTTCTCAACCTGCTGGTAAATAATCCAAATGCTTATTTCTAGTTTTTTTTTTTTTCCTTTTTCTTTTAAATCTATCTTCTTCCCTTTTCCAATTCATAACTACCCTGTTCCGGCCTTCTCCTGCTTCCTTTTTCTTCCCTTTTTTTTTTTTCTTAAACGCGGCATGAGCTGGGATTTGGAAGGGGCGGGCTGTATGTCTGACGAATAAAAGCTGTAGCCTATAGATCGGCACAAGGCTTTTAACCGGGTACAACCAGCCAGGCTTAAAGGAAACATTTCGTCTTAAATTTAGAGCAGAGGTTATAACCGAGCGATAGAGGTGAGTGCAAGAAAACGACGACGGTGGGCGAGTGAAAACTTTTGCATGCTCGGTAAGCCAGAAGCGTTTTTTATAATGCATTTTACAGAGCTCCGGCGAGAGGAGGCTGCACGCTTTAAATGTGAAGCCCGTCTTTTGTTGCTTTGGCCCGGGCTGCCGCTGCTGCCGCCGCCGCTGCTGCTGCTGCTAACGAACCCAACCACCTCGCTCACATTGCAATTTCTTTTCCTTTTTTTTTTTTTAAAGAAATACGAGTATCCATGCAGGCTACGTTTAGCCTGCAAATCCCACCGAGCACACACCAGCCATTGTATGTGTATGTGTGTCTCTGTGTGTGTGTGTAGTGAGCCCTCCACGGCCCCGGCGTGCAGACATGCTGTGAGATAGTTCCATGCAAGCAAGGCCCGATTATTTGGCCACAACAACTACAGCAAAGCCTCTGACGTTAAACACTGTGGGCCGTGGCCGCGGGCTTTGATAACGCGGGGGCTTTCTTAGCAGGATTTTGTGCGGCCCACGACCGCCTACGGAGTCCCAGCAGTATCATACGAGCCGGTTTTGATGTCAATCCCTTGTTTGCGAGGCACCGTCGGCTGTGTAATGGAGTAACGAGACAGAAATAGAGCTGGAAATAAATGCGGATTAATTGAGTTAACCGCGTTACCGGTGCGCGGTTAGCCCGGTCATTTGTGGTGTGTTGTTGCGGTCAGTGCGTTTAATTGCCCTGGTATTTTTCTGTGCTGCATCCATCTATGTATCTGTGTGTGTGTGTGTGTGTGTGAACTCGACGCCTTGTCTTGCACCAAGCCTGACCGGTGTGCTTTCTGTGTTCTTCTTATTCCCCAGGTTTGAAAAGCTAAGCAAACATGAGCGACAAGGGGACAGTCTCACCGAAGGAGAAGGAGGCAACAGAGAAGAGGGGGCGTGGAAGACCCCGTAAGCAGCCCCAGGTAAAAACCTCTGACGTAAGTAGTGCCCACTTTTGTCATTGTTTCATGTTTGCATGCCATGAGGATATGCATGAAGAGTAGGGAGGATTTTGGAGGTGTGAAACCCAGATTTAAAAACAAAGCAAGCCTTATTTAAGTTTTTTTTTTTTTAAAGCCCACATCTGTTCCTGTTGATGCTCAGGTTGATATTATTGCAGGTGAGGTGCTCATGCATATCCATGTCATAAGCCCTCTGTGGATCAAGATATGGCTGCAGCGAGCCCTTGTGACCATTTGCTCACCCCCCCTTATCTGTGTAAATGTAGTAACCCTACAACAAACTTCCTGTGCGTCTCACTTGTTTTGTAAGCAACCCGTAACCCTACACCTTTAAACTGTTTTTAACCCCCCCACCCTCCCATCTTCACGGCCCACCTCTGCTAGTCATGTAATGGATGACATAGCAGAGTGGAAACACAGAGTGGCTCATATAGCTGTCACTCAGCGCCGCATGTTTTAGTATTGAATTGCTCGGTTGCTACGAGCTGCGGTTGTAAACATTCTAGAAATGCAACAGGAGACACGTCTGCCATGACATAGCTTGCCACTACGAATTATCACATGAACAAGATACCATCGTGCTGAATTTACCTTTTGCAATGTGGAGTTGATGGTAATCCCCTAAGTGTTGACTCAGATATTCCCCTTTCTACACCTCAGTGTTTTCGGCATTTAGGTTTCTAAATGGCATGTTTTTAGTCACGGTGCTATTTGTGATCTCGTTTGTTTTTTACGAACAGCTTACTTGCGAGTTTGAGACAACCGTTTGTTTCCCTGTCAGACCATGGCGACCTGCGGCTCTGACCACCTGTCAGTCTTTGAAGTGGTTGCACCGACCTTGAATTATGAACTTTGTCTATGAGAGTCTTGCATGTAAAAGTGTATCCATGCTATTTTCTACAAATACTCTTGTCTAATAACATAGCGTACCCTAAAGAAAGGTGTTATATATTGCTCTGCTGTTTTTGGTATACTAACTTCAGTGTCTTGATTGTCAGGAACCAAGTGGGTCCCCTACTCCAAAGAGGCCCAGAGGACGGCCGAAGGGCAGCAAAAACAAGACAGCCGGCAAGGGCAAAGTAAGTCAATGCTGTCTGCGGTCGTGTTTTCACATGGCGACAAGTCATGATATCAGCAGCAGCTAACATGCATCCTGAGCCGGAATGGCAGCCGTGCCAAGAAAGACAGGCGCAGCTTCACAATGAAGATGCACGCGGCATGGTCTCTCGCAAGCATTTCCCCTTTTCTAACCCTCGATTCCTTTTTGCTTGATGAACATTGTAACGGTAGCTAACCTCATCCTCTTAAAAGGACGTCCTGCTGTTACTTGTGATATATCGGTTGGCTGCAATTTAGCTGCTTCCCCTGCTGGTGTCAGAAATAGCCTGGCTAGGCTTTCCCATTGTAAAGACCTTGGTTTACTGCCTTACTTTTTCTTTCTCTTCTATTTTTTTT